TGGAACGGTTGGAACGGTTCAACTTACTCACGGTTCGGTTTGTATCACGGTTTTAGAGTCACGGTTTCGGGTATGTGCTATTGTACATTTATGCTGAAATGTACAATATGAATGTATATTTATGTATGAACAGCTTTAAAACAAACATCTTAACATATATTAATATATACATACTAGGGGTGGAACGGTTCAACTTACTCACGGTTCGGTTTGTATCACGGTTTTAGAGACACGGTTTCGGTACGGTTTGGTATGTGCTATGTTTAGGCAAAAACTCTATACTGTCAAATAAAAATAAAGAAATTAAGAATAATCTGTCTAACTACAAGCAACAGCAGAAATAAATACAATTGAGTAAAGATACAAATAAAATAAACAGTGATTTTCATTTTTTTTTAGGTAGGTCTAAAATTAGTTTTTAGGTACAGAAATTGAATAAAGTAATGAAATGTAAAACAGCATTGCATATTTTACTGTATAAATTAAAGATGAATCTTTATTAAAGTTACAAAATCTATTCAATCAAGAGCAGTGAGTGATTTCTTTGTTGTTGCTGTTTGATTAATATTAAGAAAGTGCTGTCACTTTAAGAGAATGCACTGATACAGTATGTTCAGCCGGCTATGTCTGCTATAGGATACTTACCAAGACGGGCATTTTGACATAGTTTTTGTGTGAATTTGTCCATTTAAACACAATACTTCAGAGAGGGCTTAATCGCATTGAACGAGTGAATGGTTTGTCCACTTTTTTTATTCATCGCTGTTGTTGTAATGTATTGGGAAGCCAGAACGCGCATCCATCAACAGGTTCCACCCCTAATACATACTGTATTACAATTTAAAATAACTGATTTTGATTTGAATATATTTTAAAATGTAATTTATTCCTGAGACAGCAAAGCTGCATGTTCCTAGTCATTACTCTAGTCTTCAGTATCATATGATTCTTCAGAAATAATACTAATATGCTGTGCTCAAGAAACATTTAATAATTAATGATGTTGAAAACAGTAGTGCTGCATTTTTCTTGATACTTTGACAGATATAAAGTTCAAAAGAACAGCATTTATTTGAAATAGAAATATTTTGTAACATTGTAAATGTCTTTACTGTCATTTAATGCATCCTTGCTAAATAAAAGTATTAATTTCTTAAAAAAAAAATCTGAATACTGCACAATAAATCAGATAGAACATGTCAAATTAGGTAAATGCATTAAAAAACACGGTGGCGTTGAAAATATTTAATTAACCTAATATGTGACCCTGGACCACAAAACCAGTCATAAGTCGCACGGGTATATTTGCAGCAATAGCCAACAATACATTGTATGGGTCAAAATTATCGACTTTTCTTTTATGCTAAAAATCATTAGGATATTAAGTAAAGATCATGTTCCATGAAGATATTTTGTAAATTTGTCACATATATTCAGTACTATTGTTCTATAGACATAAAATGATTCATAAACATTTGTATATATCTAAAATTGTTCATATCCAACATGCTTATGTTTTAGATGCTGTCAATGCATATTTCGGTGCCTGTGCAAATGTACGATAATGTATGTACATGTATTTATACTTTACATATGAATTCTTATGATTACTAAACACTTCACATACAGTATATAGACTTATTTTAAAGCCACCTACAGAGACACCAGAACCACAGTGTCCTTACAGCCTCAGGTCATAAAGGGCTCAGCTGGGAAACACTCTGAACATTCACATAGAAAAATGACCTGAATCTTTCCAAGCACTGAAAACAGTTTTTTTCCCAGACAATTTTTTTTTCTCCATTGACATCAGTTTGATCGAATGGCTAAAATATACCTGAGCCTGAAATGTATATTTCACTGAAACTTTTTGACTGAGGTTTTGAGGTTTTGTTAACACTCGTGTTGGATTTGTCTGAGCATGGCATCTAACAGAATTTGCTGTGATGAAATCTCTTTTTTAAGTTGTTCTACAATGGAGGAAGCCTTCTCCATCCAACCTCATGTTCCTGATACATTTCACATTTTAATGTTGGATCTCAGCCAGACTGATATCAAGAGTGTGTTGCCAATACTAATGTTCTGCAAGTGTTCTGAGTAAAGAGACAAAATAAAAGACCAAGACAGCACAGCTGGGATGGGTAGAAGGTGTGCTGGTGTCCCAACAAGGGTTTTAAACTGGTTTAATTAGCAAGATTTTCTTGGTTAATCAACTTAACCAAAAAACATGCACCCACAGAAACTACAACGGCTGTTATGTACAATATACTTTTTTAATACTGTGTAAGAAAAAGAAGTAATGTAAGCTGTATTCAGTGAAATTCATTGAAAATGTTTTATATCTTTTTGTTTCCACAATAAATGAGTCGTTAGAATGCAGAATGTCACAATAATATTGCAACTTAAACTAAAACCATAAGCACATTTTTTTACTTGAAAACATTAACTTACAATTAAATATAAAAACTTAAATTTATTTTTATTTCAGCCAGCTGCCAAGGTGACATTTCTCATTTTTGTTTAGTTTAACTTAAAGTACTAAAATAACTAAAACTAAATAAACTAAAGCTAATTAATAAAAACTATACATACATTTAACAATAATAATAATAAAATTGACAAAAATACATAAAATAATCCAAAGTTAAATTAAAATACAACATAATTATTATTAATAGTAAATCAATAAGAAAATAACAGTGGTTAACATGTCAACTTTTACAGCCCTAAAATATTTTGTAATTATATTATTATTATTACATGGGACAGTAGGGTCGTAGGGTCCTTTGTAAATCACCATGACAAAACAGAGCTTTAAAAAACACTATCAGTATTAAAAGACTTTATTAACGTGAGACTTACTCAGGACCTGCAGGCTTCTCTTCATGGTATCATGTGGTCCGGCTCCTCCTCCACAGTGCTCATGGTTCTCTACAGGACAAAGGATAGTCGGGGGTTAATCATAATCTGATTATCAGGCTATTGCATTCCTGAACTTTTAATGAACTTTAATAACATAATGAACTTGGGCATTTTTAATTAAATAGGGTCATGATTTTTACATGTGAGGGAACCAGCCCAACACAGCAACATTAGCTCAGCCATATCTGTTGATTGTCTGTTCTCCCAAACAATAAAAGTCCATTTCTGAACACCAAAATGATAATTAAACACTTTAGTTTTAATACATAAATGGTTTAGCTCTGAAAATCATAAATCACGTAGGCTAAAATTTATATGACCTGTCATTAAAATTCCAGCGTTATTCCCCTGTGTCCAGGCATTTGACATGAGTCTCGGGAAACTGTCACACTGCTAAATGCAAATGGACACGGACACATTTCTCTCAAGAGATAAGTGTCTATGAATGTGTGTGATTGTCAAGGTGTCAAAATTGTCGCTCTCTCATCTTGTCCTTGGGGTACTGTGATGGAAACACATCCCACCGCACAAGACATATTGAGTCGATAAAGTATGTGAAATGAGATTTGAGCCCCCTTGGGTGAGGGGAAGTCTGAATCACATGCTAATCTAAAAGTCTCGCCAACACAACCACATTGGCCGTGATACACTGAGCAGCATTGATCCCTTTCCATAATCTTTTCATTAGGAGCTGACTGTCTTTCAGATAAGCACCGGATCAAATCAAGCCGTTTTTCAAGTAGAAACCAAACCACATCTAAATAGCTTTTGATCAATGCTTTTTAACTTGTCAGTACTGATTTTGTAGGCTGCAGGAATAATTCTAAGCAAATATTAAATCTAAATTTATACGACAAGCAGCTAAGTAAAAAAAACAGCACTTCGAGTACCCACTGGGAAAACTCCGGCAAACAATATCCAGTGAATATTTGTGATTGTGCTCTGGAGAACATCAAAAGGTTTCTTTTTACATCGTGTTTTTGCAGTGTTGAGCAATGTAGCCATTAACAGACATATCTGTTGATTTCTTGATCGCAATTGCCAATCAGAGGCGTTTAAGCTAGAATCCACTCACCTCTCAAAACACCAGAGGTTTTGTCCATTGCCGAGTTTTGCAAGCTCGTGAATTCTCTCATTAAGTATAACAAAACTTCATGAGATCATAATAAACTAAGAGACAGCTTTTTACTGATTATAAAGGGAGTGCTCTTTGTGTGCTTTCTATAATCCATTCAGAATTTGTATAAAACTTTTGTTTTATACAATAAAACTGTGTTTGAGCAGTTTTCATTGTCAGTATCTCATATTTAGGCGATCGCACAGCACTTTGAAAGATGGCTGAAAGATGACTCTACATAAAAAAAAAATGATCTTGGCAAAAGGGCAAATTCACTAAACACATTTTTGTGCGGTAAAATCGTTTTCACAAATTGTACTTTTTGATACTTTTAACTTAGAATGGAAATAATATACTTCATATACTTAAGTGCGAACTGAATGTAAAGTTTTAAACACTTAACTGCATGTTAATTGCAATTAAATGAAAATGTATTATAGTTTAAATCTGTATTAAAGCAAATTTACAGGGCTGACTGACTTAAGTGGGACGCAAGTACTTCTCATGTAATTTCATAATTACTTCTATTGAAATAAAGTTAACGTGTATTTCCAAATGTGCAGACAAACATTTATGGTAAATGTAATATCGAATAACACACTACAGTGTGTTTTAATAAGTGTACTTCTTTAAAGTACAACAAAACATAGAACAGTAATTCCAAAATGTACTTTAAAATAAAATTTTATTATTTTTGATTATTATTACAGAGTGCACTTGTTAAGAAACAGTCAAGGAATTTTTATCTCTTTAAGTATACTTACAGTAAGTGGCATTTTATTTCATTAATATTACCTTATCTGCAAGTAAATTTTTTTTTAAATATACTTTTAAGATTCAAAGTATAGTGCACATTCAGTATAATTATTATTATTTTGTAACTTTCACCTATCAAACTGCATCACTTCTCAATGCAATTCACAACCGGGGCAAATTATTATCTATCTATTTACTGTATATCTATTATGTTCATCTCATTACTGTTCAACACAGCCAGCCGAAAAAATTCAACCGCTGAGCTTCCTGACTTCTCAATCAATACAGATCATGACATCTCAATCAATAGTTTGTTTGATAATCAGTTTTTTTTTTGCTTTAGTGTGTGCGCTCAGTAGTCTCTGCAACGTCATCAAGGCACCTGTGAGAATATCTGTGATTCATGACACGCTTTTCCAGTAAATGCAACCGTGTGTGTGAGTTTGTGTAGGCAGAAAGTCCATTTGTGAGTCATGCCCACCTGCACTGGGAGGACAAGAGATCCGAGGCCTTTTTTAACAACAGAGATGAGGTCAGTAAAGTAAAAACTACAAGCACAAGACAAATCGAGAGACCATGAAATGAACGTGTGGGCCAAACGAGTAAATCCTGAAAATAGGAGGCAAACTGACCGAGATGCAGCTCTGTGTAAATTTTAGATAGCATGCAGTGGCGTTTGTACTTCTTTTCTAACAAACCACTGCATGGCAACTGGCACACGCAGAGACCCTGCTTCTGTCACCACAGCAACCCTAAGAGAAAATTATATTCAAATCTCGTCACAGGGACAACTGTGAGAACAATACAGAGAAAATCAAACTTGACGTGGAAATATTAGCCACGTGTGCTTTGAGCCTTGAGCCAACAGACTGAGAAAACAGCCCCTCATTTCCGAAGATGATGTTTGGTTTACGTTAATGATGACGGTTTGCCGACGTACCTCTAAATTGTCTGTCTGGAGGGACAAGGGCTTTGAGATGAGCCAAGGTCGACTAAGATGGTGTAGTGAAGTAAAGCTGTCAATGGATCCCCTCAGGCCACCACCGACAGGAATAAGAACGCTTCTACCTTTATGTTTGTCTCTATTTCACAGTTAGACTCCCAAAGCTGGAGGCGGAGAAATTGCCACGTCTGCTTGAGGGTAACTCATCAATTTTGAAGCTTAAATAAAGGTTTGTGAAGCAAAGATATATTCAAAACATGATTTCTACTTTTATATTGAAGGTTTTTCCACAAAAAAAAGTGCCACTGTAATTACTGGTTTTAGGAAATGGTACTATGCGAATGCAATAAATGTTTTCTTTTACTATGGTTTACTGACAATACCTTGTTTTTTTACATTGTATATACCACAGTACTTAAATAATGTAACCTAAAATGTCTAAAATGTATTCTCACCAAATGTCATTTGTTAGTAGAAATGGCTTTGGTGACTAAATAAAATGGCTTGCCAATTGGACATTTTTTATTAAAGGAATTTGGACTTTTCTTGAGCAAGGAAACATGAAATTGATCAAAAGTGACAGTGAAGACATTTATAATGTTACAAAAGGTTTCTATTGCAAATAAATGTTTTTGTTTTGAGGTTTCTTTTCATCTTATATTTAAATGATAAAGGAGAAGTTCACTCCCAGAATGAAAATTTCCTAATAATTTACTCACCCCCATGACATCCAAGATGTTCATGTCTTCAGTCGAAAAGAAATTAAGTGAACGTGCAAAAAAACTCAAATGCACTTTACAAAAAAAAAAGGTAAAACAATGATGTTGGGCAATTGTGAAGTTGGAGGAGAAATTGAGATGGAGTTTTTTAACCGAAGTACACATAAGAAGAAATAACCATGCGTGACTTTTCCAATGTGATTACGCAATGCCTAGAGTGCAAGATGAGCATTTGTGGTTAAAAAGTATATACTTTTTTTTTTTGAAGAAAATGACCAATCATTTAATTAGATAAGACACTAATTCCTCGGCTGGGATCGTGTTGAAGCTGTTAAAATGCAATTTGGACCTTCAGTATAGTATAGTAATATTTGCACTGTTCTAATTACAGTATAGTGGACATCACTGAAATCCACTATATGGAGAAAATTCCTGGAATGTTTTTCTCAAAAAACTTAATTTCTTTTCATCTGAAGAAAGAAAGATAAACATTTTGGATGACATGGGGGTGAGTAAATTACAGAAGCGGACAGTAGTGAAGTATTTTTACTCTGCTGTAAAAGTACTTTTGAAGTGTCAGAGTGTTTTTCTTTAGAAAAATTTAATTCACAGAATTCCAAAGCATAATATTGTACCTTTTACTGCACTATGTTTCTAATTACATTAGAAATCTATGACTTTCTTTCTTTT